CATATAGGCTTATGACCATCTCTAAGGCAAGTTTTGGTCTGCAGACCACAAATTTGACACCCCTTGATTTAGGTGGCCATGAACTCCTGTAGTCAAGTGTATATGGGGAATTTGTCTTGGACTTTTACCCATTGGGTAGCTATAAATGTAAATATGTCTTGCAATTTTTCATCTAATCCTAATCTAAATATAACCTAATACTCCCTCAGGTTGCACCTCAATATACAAATGCTGTCCAGAAAAATCTGATACAAAGCAAGAATTAATTATCATATGCTTAAATAAATAGTGCCTCCTGGTGCCAGGGCACACTTGTTCATCTACACATAAATAAACTGTCTTTGGAGAGCACACTGGACTTGCTTTTGCTCAAACATGCACATATTCTGTATTTAGTTTTTCAACTTGGACTAAACTTATCTGACCAATTCTTCTATTGGCATTATTCTGGTTGATGGCTAAATGACACTAAATTATTTTACATATCAGCAAATGATGATAAATTTTCACTTGCAATACTGAACCAGATGCTTGGTTCCTATGGCAGTCAGCCATTAAAGGGAAAAGTTAGAAGTATGGGGAACATTTGCTTTCTCCACTCACTAGAATTTTGGCTACAGCTCATATGACTTCTCAGTAAATACGGCTAGAATGTGATTTTATTTTTTAGGTGATGTGACTTCTCAATGACTGCAGTCCTAACCAGACTAGCAAAAAAACTGTCAAACAGACAAAACTTTGACACGGATGTACATGTCACCTGGAAATGAGTCCAGTCATGCCACAGCATTTATGTACATGCCACAGCAATAATGCATCAAAGCACATGGTAATTCAACAGAAAGCTGCATATCACTGATATTAATGAACTAAGTATTAGTGAATTACTTATGATATAATTTATCCAAACTTGATAGCTTTTCATCTTTGGAAGCCTTCTACAGACATCAAACACTATGGCAGGTTTGAAGCACACCAAAATATTATGGGTAAACTATTGAAAAAAAATTAAAAACTATTAAAAAAAAAAAAAAACAAAGATAAATCATGCAATTTTTACTTAAAAAGGTGGCACTTGAGTTTGTTTCTCTAGACTAAATAACTAAATCTGAGTAATGTACATCATATGCAATCCATACCTACCAAATGTGTTAGTATCAGCAGTGAAAATATTTTCTTTAGAATTCTCAAGTATACTACATGAATAATACACTTCTTGATTTATTCATCTAGATCAGTTTATCAGTTTTATTGAGATTTTCTAGCCAGAAATTACTTGTCAACCTCCCTAGCAATTTACCCCAGACAAAAGAACCACAGTACATCTAATCTCCGAGAAATTAACACTGGCAACTCACCATACACTCTGGAGTACTCTAATGCTATAAGTGCCTTTTATATAAAATATAAAATAAAAACATGTTTTTTAACTGTACAACATATTTTCAAAACATGTATGTATTTATCCTTCCCTCAACACCATTCTAATCTTTTGTGATGTATACAGCCCTTAATTCCATTTCTATTTTTCTTCACTAAACACTGTCAATTGGAGTACCTGAGTCTGGATGAGGTGCCACTTTCTATTCTTTCCTTATACTGGATACAATATACTTTAAACTTTCTATTCTTTCCTTAAACCAATAAAAAATACTCCTAAACCTATCCTGCCAGAACATAGATGGTGGTGTGTCTGTCTTTGCCTGAGACCATGGTAACCACAGGAGTTACTTTTGGGAAGGGTATAGTTCTAGGTTCCAAAATAATAGTATATGTCACAAGCGATGCCATGGTCTGTACTTCGAGCTCTGGCAAAGCTGAACACCTACTATCAACAATGAACAATAATGTTTAAAGTATATGGTAATGCTAAAGAAAAGCTGTAAATTACTGAATCCTACAAATTGGGTACAAATAGACTGCTTGTGATATCCTATTTGTTTTTCAGGCTTTATATCAATTTTATGTTTTCTTTACAGTAATGCCATCACATTCTGAATAATAACCTTAATAACCAATTTGCTACGCCTTAAAACTTCATTCGAGAGGTGGTACTTCAATAAAACTGACATGAAATATGGAATCTCTAGGAACTTGAAATCATGACTCATAATGCATGTCACTGGAAGAATGACACTTGCCTGACAGGTCTAAACACCCCCATTGACTGTCCATTCCCTATACAAACCCTAGACTTAATAAGTACACGAATGCGAGGGGCACAACTTGTAAGTATCAATTTACACTTTTTCCCGTCCAAGATTTTTGTTTTTCCAAAAAAATTAAAACCACAAAAATTTGGAAATACATGCCTCGCTGACTGTCTTTGAGGCGTCGTGTCAAAGGCATCGAAGAACTCGTCTGTTTCGCTTTCAGACGACATGTTCGTATATCATTGAACCGCTTTCTTGGTCATTTTTAAGCTGGAAATGACGAAAACTCAAGAAGCAACTCGTCGACCAAGCCCACTGAACGTCAGCTGATCGTCGCCATTGTTGTT